TTATTTTGAAATAAATTATTTATTTCCTGTATCTGTACTCTTTATTCTTTTATTTGAAAATGGAACTTACTTTCCGAACCTACCTCGTAATAACTAGACAAAATTGAGGAAAAGTAAAACAGGAAAAGTATTAAAACCGTATTAGATCATGAAACAGTTTATCAGGAACAATCATTTTAATATATCCTCCTGAAGCAAATTGATCCATGGAGATGTTGATTAACAACTCACTCCAACACCAGATGAGGAGCATGGAAAATCACAAGAAATTTGTCTTGATGACACTGGTACAGAATAAATTGAAATCATACACACATTCTTTATACATATACAGTCTTTTATAATTCAACTACTCTACATACATCATCCAGTGATTCTGGACAGTGATTCTAGTGCTTCTGGAGTTGCAAGGGTAATGAAATGAGTCTTATACAGCAATGATGACGAGGAAAAACGGATCGGGTATGCGTCCAGAACTCTAACAGCTCCAGAGCGAAACGACAGTAAATTCAACCAAAAAGCAATTGTTTTGGTGTCAGTATATAGTTAGTAGGTGTTTAATTATTTTTACTACCATAGCTCTGGTTACAGACAACGCACCACTAACAAAAATATTCAATGTAGACAAATCTCTGTCTCCTATGACATCCAGTCGTCAAGATTCAATTTCAATTATTGAATAAAGTGCAACAAAGGAGATGTGCAAAACCGTTTGTCATGTGTCTCTGTGAATCAAAATTGTTAAACTACGAAGGGGTTTCTGAATAATGTTTCACCTCACAGTCCGAGACAATATTCAAAATATCCCACTGTTGCCCAACGAATTATCCAAAACGTTAAGCAGTGATAAAGGCACTTTAGAATGGCCCTATTCCATACCAAGGTTCAGGAAATTCTCTTATAATATTGTGTCCCTTTCCTTTCCAATGGACAAACCCATGCAGAACAATATTTCAACTATAAGATTCAAACTAAGTTGGATGATCTTATTGTCCTGAAAAAAATCCTTTTTCAAGATTTTGAGTACGAATATTTAATGAGGGAGAGAGAATACCTGTATAAGGAAATTAATTAATAATAAAATAAAATTAAATTTTAATAATAAGAACGTTATAGTCGTTTTTTGGATACCAAAGAAACTTGGAGTACTGCACGTTGTAGTCAAGTTGGATTTTGGCAAGACCTAGTCTTGGATCAAAATTGGAAAACCAAAGAAGAAAAGAAGTACGATTTGATTGGGATGACAAATTGGCCCAAAGTTAAAAAACCCTCACCCAGTACAATAAAGGAACAACCTAAAAAAAGAATCTAGACAACGTTTTGAAAATACAGCAGCAATCTGTCACCTATGAGTCTTGTGTTAAAATCAAATAAGATTACTTAGAAAAAGAAAAAGCTGACAAAAAGTTTGCTCAAAAATTCAAAACCTTAAAAAGTTAAACCAATTACCATTACAGTACAACAACTACATTACTCTGTATTAGGGAATCATAATCTAGAGTTGTTAAAATAGAACTGTGTTTATGCAAGACATGAAGTAAAAATGAAAATTACATACAGTAGAGTCCCGCAAACTCGGCACTCGATAGCCCGGCAGTCTGGATAACTCGGCCATCACCTAGCTCAGAAAATTAGTGATTTTTTAAATCTGAGTTCAACATGGACTCAAGCCAGCTCAAGTCAAATCATCCGCAACTTGTTCCAAGGATTTGTTCTACTATATCTGATGACTTAATACTGACTTGTCATATAGGCTAAATATAAATAAAAAAGACAGGTAAAGGCTTAAAAATTTTATTGTTTTTATTTTTAGCCCTAGTTCCCGATAACCCGGCATTTCACAAACTCGGCACCATTTCAGTCCACATTACGCTGAGTTTGCGGGACTCTACTGTATTTTCATTTTATAATTTCTTAACTGCCATTGGTCAAATAAAAATACGGTGAAAATAGTATTGGGAAGCTACCATGAAAATTGTCTAGTATCAAAATCAATGAACTAATGTTTTGTTAGTGGCTATCTTGTACTAGGTTCCTTCTAAAATTAAAATGAGAGAAATTCAAAGATTCAAAGGATGACCTTATACTTTTTAAAACATTAGAAACTACTCCAATCTTACATTTAATTCATACAACCTTGCTCATAAATCTATTCATGCTGATAAATGAAAATTCATGCCAAGAAACTGTTTATCAGACTTAAATCAGAGCTAGGAAATAATTTTGAAATGCACCATACAGGGAGCAGTTTTTTTAATATTTTAACTCTTTTACCTCTACAAAAGTCTCCACTATTTACTACAGAGTATTTTCTAGTTAAGATAAGTAAATGTAAAACTCACCCTGTTCCTCCCTGTAAGACAGTAGTCAAGTATGGCCTGCAACCCTTACAACACGGTCTCTTGTTGGCTTCCTAATCTCATTTGTCAGCCTATTTAAACTCTTTAAACCTATTACACCATATTCACAAGTAAAGAACTAACTGTCAAAGCCCTTGGTTTTGTCACTTGATTTAATTTTGATCATCTTAAAGTTTCAGTGATGGTATTGGTCCAATTCGGATTGATAGTGCAAAAGTATTGATCAACTGGATTAAAATGGTGTTTACCTAACTCCATGGTGTAAGGAAATATACATTTCAAAAAATAATTATTCGCTTTCACAAATCACACATAAGATTTTTTTGTATAAGTGGATTTGCTGTCTGTCCAAGGTGTTGTTTAGAAACAATTGGTTGAAAACGAGGAATAATCAAATGATTTAACATAGTTTCAGACATTGATGTTTAAAGCAAACAGATCATTTTCAGAGAGTTGAATACTGGATTTGTATCAATGTAGGAGTCCCATTTGTGGTTTCAAGTTAGTGTTCAAATATAACCAAAAATTGTTAATTGTGTTAAAAAAATGACAGGTACTGTACAAATATCTACGATAAAATGTTACAAAGGCAATCAAAAATATTATTATTTTAGGAAGTCACCAATTTATGTTTTATAATATAAATTTATGTTTAACGTAAATTTCTCAGTTCACAACAAAGCTATTTCATGGAAAAGCCAAGTATGGTATATACAACTTTAAGGAACAATAACAAGAATATTTAAAAAGTGAACATTTATTTAAATATAGTACAATTGTTACACTTACAATCTAAAATCAATAAATTACTTAAAACCTAATTGCTTAAACAATAATACTTTTATGGTAAAGCATGTAGGAATCAAAATAAGACAATAGTGTTGTAGAAACAGTAGTGGGAAAGTTCAGGTACTGGATATTAAAGAAATGATTGATGAAAAGTAAAAATAGAATATTACACTTTGTACAAATAAACTAAGAGCCAACATGAGGAATGGCTTCTTGAACAGTTTCAGTTCAATCCAGCAATTCGGTGCATTTAGACTGGTCCTGCAAATACTGCTCAGGGTTGATACAGTAATGAACAACGTAGAGCTAAAGACAGTAAAATCCACAATTAAAATGTGAAGGCATATATTGGTGGACAATCATACTAAAAAAATCAAGACCCAACACTAAATAGTGATGATATTTTATGGAAACTTTAAAGGGTCTAAAAAGACAAGAACATTTGCAAAGTGCTGCTGGGGTGTAAGTTAAGTCAACAAATTTAAATGAATCTGACAATAATAAATATTTGACTAAAAATGTCGTTCAAAGATGTTTTGGCATTTATAAAATATATAAAATTACATTGTTTTGTGCTCAAGATGCTTTGATGCTGATGCATTTTGATTGATTCAAATCAATTTTTATCTAAATTTTCAGACTTTTTAGTTTATTAGATATATAACTAAAAAATAACTTAAAATGAAAATTTTTTCTATTGATTAAACTCTCTATACCCCTTGCATAAACTTGCTGACAGAATTATTGTGTTACATGCTTCTTAAAAATCCTAAACTTTGGCTATGTTATGAACAGTCTTTTGTATATTAGAATTATTTTATTTTACCTATCATGAAGATTAGATGGATTTCTTTTTATAGATTTTTATTAAATTGAACAAATTTACAGTGAAGGTAGCATTAGGAAGCCAGGATGTAAACATTTCTAAAATCAAGGAACTAAAGTTACCTAATTAGTTTTCTTTAGGGATAGTTATAATAATGAGCTTTCTATATGATACAATTTAAAAAAAATTACTTTGACAAATTAGTGATCATATTGTACAAGTAGTGGCGGATCCAGAGTATCCCCTCGGGCATACATATATGTATTTTTTTACTGAATAGTAAATACCGTAGTAAATACACATTGCGTAAAATAATTTGTCACACTAACTTTGGACGAAGAAATTGTATAAAACTGCCATTTTGGAGACTTAGTTTACACTAATTTTTCGGGGGGCCCCCCACCCTTGTGACTGTTCTAGATCCGCCACTGTACAAGTAGTATTTGTCGATAACTGTACTATTAGTTTTGGTATGGTACATTTCCAATTACAGTATTTGTATGGAAAAGATAATATTACATACCGTTAGAGTAGGTAGTTATTAATACAGAGTGTTATAATATGAACTAAACAATTCAAGTTTGACTGTTGTAGCTTTATTTCAATTATTTTTTTCCAAAAAGATCTAACAAAATATTATAACTGTCACATATTATTACTGTAATATCCTAAAATTGCTTCAACAACAAAATGTGACAATCAACATCTATGTCTATTATTTATTCATCAAGAATTTCAAGAAAAACAAATCAGTTTTAGTAATACTGTACTTCTCGATGGTGTAAGTTTGATCAAATACCCATATCAATTCAACTGTAAGAGAAATTTTTTTGACAGTGTCTAAGTAAATAATCACATATTTAACAGACTGTAATAAAGCCTCCGAGTGGCATTTATTCAAGAAAGTAATAAAACAAAAGTTTACAGAAAAACTGTCATCAATGAACGCTTCTCAGTTCTTAAAGGAGCTTGTAGACACCGGTTCTCTAAATTATCGGCTCCACAGTACTCGACCGTTCTGTAAGGAACCGTTTAACAATCGAGGTTATCAACATGATTCTCATTGCTTCTCACACTCACACCTGTCAGTTTACAGTTTATTTACAAACAGTGATCCACTCTTCCACAGTGCAGTTCTGACATTCGACGTAGCAGCACCAATGGAATCGGCAGTTACAGCGATCTGTTCTACGCTGCTTGATCACGTTGTACCTGTAAATGACATTATTGTAGTGACGAAATACCATTCAGAGCCATGCCAACAGATAGCAAGAGGTTTTAGGTTTTTTGGGGGCGCAGGAAGAGAAAAATTCCGCCACAAGGTGTATGAAGAGGGGCGCAACGCTGTACCTCTCGGACCCATAGCGCATCAAATGCAAACCACGGGCCTGATAAAATTGAGTTTTGAAACTGTGAACATTCCATTCTTAAACCAGAGGTGAGACTGATTTCCAAGTGAGAATATGTATATATATATATATATTTGACTTCAGATGATCCTCTTTACTGCAAGGATTAAAAATAACTACTTTAGCCCCAACAAGGCAAGTATTGGAAGCAGTGGATAACTCTTTTTCATTTTTCACTAGTCATCCATGGAAGAAATAATCCAAGACTACTGACCCTCTTCCGCAGCAGAGAGATGCGCAGCCGTCCACTCCTCTACTAGTTCTGTTGCATCTTCGTCCCAACGTGCCTTCCACGCCTAGTGAGTGATCAGGCTCACAGAAGTTGGGGGATCTCTCATAGAACAACAGCTCCGAGGATAGATCACGTCTTCTTTTTTTCTGTCTGGAATTCCATGGAAAGGTTTTAGATGAAATACATTTAAAAAAATACAAGTACAAAGTAATAAGTTGGTACATATTATAACATAAAGTGATCCTCTCAACGACTTGTTCTTCTACAAGCGGAAGAGTCTTCATTGTCATTCACTTAATTGATTGAAAAAACTAATACACTTGTAGGTAGGAGATAAATTGCAGCCTAAACATACGTATATACATTATACTACTGCACACTATGTAAGTGAAAAGACATATCTGAAGGCTGCAGTAATGAAACAAAACCAACTACACAATTTCTGACAAAGAAAAAGTAATCAAAAGCCCATAAACTATTATCACCCAAAGGAGAAAAACATCTAAAGTATAGTGTATGTTTATTGATTCAACTCATTACCTACACTAATTTGATTATACAGGCCAACTCAAAATGAATACCAGATATAAACCCAACTGAAAACGTACTTTTCTGATCTATGAGAATTATAAATCTCTAAGGGAAGTACAATAATAATGTTTAATCTATAACCATAACCAATCAAAAGACAATTTGTGACTTGTTATACAAGTACAAGAGTTTCTTGTTATACAAGAAATGTGGTATGAGCAAGATAGGGCTTCAATGGCTTACCACCTTAAACTTAGCCTTGTGGAAGGGGTATTAGTTTATTATTAATGCACATAATAACAACATTTGATGTATTAATATTATGTAATCATTCCTTAGGAAAGTCTACTGTTGCTACTGTTGGTATTTTGATTTATCAGGCAGCTAATAAAACTAAGAAAATACCTTTTCATTAACACATAGAAGAAAGTGTGTACCCTTAGGAAAATTGTCTAATACCGTGGTACTACACTACTAAGATCTCCAACACTTTAAATTTGTCTGTTATGGTCCATATAATTCTAAACAAAATAGTGCAACCCCCCCGTAAAAATTACAGTTTAAAAGCTAATGAACCGTTTGTGATTTTACCTATTAAATATCATAATTAGTTACCCTCATCGCTTACCCATGCATGATAAAGGCTGTTGACAAACTAATGGGAGAAAGTATGTATCAGATTGCTGATACCGTTTATTTTTCTTCTCACCCCTGAGATTTGTACTAATTTGTGTTTTATTCCAGGATGTTTTGTTTATTATTTTGAAGACCATGCAATTCTCTGTCCATGTATTTATTTTAGACTAGCTGTACCCGCGGGCTTTGCCCCGTTTAACTTCTTAATTTTCAAGATGAGCTCGTTCGCATGGCTCAATTACGTCCTGGTTGAAGTTCGTTCGCTACGCTCACCCACCTTTAGGTTGGAGCTAGTTCGCTGCGCTCACTTGCCTTCAGGTTAGCTCGTTCGCTACGCTAACTCACCTCCAGGTTGAAGTTCGTTCGCTACGCTCACTCACCTTTTGGTTGCAAATTAGCTGTTGTCATAAATAAAATTATAAAAAAATAGTGCTGCACCCTGTTGGTAATCCTTGTAACTTTAATGCTATTGAACATCAGAACAGAACCAACTTGTTTAATTGAAACAGCTGATAAGATTCATTAATTCCTTTTAAATATGAAAAATCATAAGGTTAACATGGGAAACTCCAGAGCCACTGGGGCGGAGCCCGAGGGTCCGATCGAACTAAAAACAACTTTGTTTTCCTATTTAATACCTAAAGAATCGGTGTGCCAAATTTCAGCCTCGTAGGTAAATGGGAAGTGGGAGAATTAGTGATGAGTGAGTGAGTGAGTGAGTGTGTCAGTGAGGGCTTTGCCTTTTATAAGTATAGATTTTCCAGATGTGAATGATTGATAAGTTTGTTTGTACTAATATGATCAGATAATATGATCAAATTATCAGTCGTTCTTTACTAATCGTGATGGAAAATGTGTGCAATGAATCCTCAAATTACTTAAACTTACCATTAAAATACAAATTTAAAAAAGGAGCATTATTTTACATTAAGAAAAATTAATCAAATAAATTTGTAAGCCGTGCAATATTTTACCTCTTCCTTTTTCTGTAGCGTATCCTCCTGCGGTGGATGAGGAGGGGGGAGCCGTTCCCCATGTTGGACTGATCCACCATGACAGCTGTCCGGAAACGATCCTTCAGGAGCCCTCCGACCATCCGGAAGTCCGGAGCTGCCTTCCAGCAGGTCTTGAGTTCACAACTGCCTGACATCCCGTGACACTTGCATTTTGTCTGCATCTTGTTAGCCACTGCCTGCAACATCACCACTTTCATAATTATTGTGGTTATGGCATTGCAATTGTTCGCATTTGTTGTGAAGGAATGGTCTAAGCCATTGCCTTGATAGGTACTACACCCCTATCTAGTTTGACCTTTTTGTATGCTAGCATAAATTAAACGATAGTCCAGTAACCAAAGGCATCTGGATCTAGAATCAAGCTCACTTCTAATCGAACCAGCAACCTTTAGGCTTAAAGGCAAGCAGCTCTTGACTACCACCTGAAATGTGTCTTCATCGGGGCTCAATTTGAGGAGAAACGCTGTGAAATTCTGTGACCTCTCTCTCTCTCTCTCTGGAGAAAAGTGTTTGTATTCTAAAATATTTTTAAGAAAATAAATCCTGTTCCTGTATTTTGTTTCGGAAAATGTTCAACTTCAGGGGAGGACATTAATGGGATCATGGAGAATGACGGGAGAGTTGAGAAGTTTGGTACTTTAACATCATAAAATCAATCTTCATTGTTACAATGCAATCATTTGGGGCCTAAAATTTATTTAAAACCATCTATAGATTGTTTGTAAAAATGTGTTTGTGTACTGAGTGTTGTATGTTTTTTCTTAGCTTTATCAGGACGTATTACAATTAAGGTAAATTTGATAAATATCTTTGAATTAATTAAGTGTGTCATTCTTATTATCTTAGGCGTTTAAGTCTAGAATAAGTCTCAAAATTTATTCGATTTTTATACATTTTACTAAGGTATCATTTTAGATTATAAAATGCAATTTCTCGTCTTTAACTATATTAAATACGGCATATTAAAATCTTTAAATTTTAATTCAATGTTTAATTGATTCTACATTTTCAGAGTGGAAACACATTTCATTCCATGTTACATTTTATTTTTACTTTACAATCTTGATATTTCACTAAACAGAAACTTTTAGTCTTTGTAGAATGTAATTCTTTTTCACCTAACATAGATATTTTAAGTAATGACAAAATATGTTATGAAAAAAATATAAATATGTACAATACCTACATCCTGCCTACCTGCCTACCTGTTATCTTAGTTTTAAAAAGAAAAGAGCGGAATGGCGCGCTGTACGCTTCTAGAGCTACCTGTGAGCGATCGGCTGAACTACGTGTCGCTGTACAGCAGTGCGGCCTGGCGGCCAATACTAGTACTACTACTACTCTGTATTAGTTCTGTTACTCACTCACAGAGCGCTCAGGCTGGCTCACGCGGCAATAATAGCACAACGCGGCCTGTTTGATATCATCTGCATTGTCGTCATTCAGTACAAAATAAATGTTAATGATGAATTCATGAATTCTGACCTTTACAATTACATTACTCTTAGACAAAAGAAGTTAGCGAAACAGGCGAACATTATTAGAATAAAATTAATTTGCACAGTATATTTTCGTAGTACTGTGTATGGGAATTAACGCAACTCGTTAGTAATCATGCGTCAGTATAGCTAAACACAAAATTTATCATACACTTTAAATGTATATGCAATTAAAAATGTTGTTGTAATTAATGTATTGTCAATAAAAGCCCGCAGGTTAAATAAAGCACCAATAATATAGGCTAATTTCGTTTGAGTCAACTAAACATGAGTCTTTTGATGTTTTAAAAATAATTAATTTATTTAATTTAAAATAACATAACGAAATACTCAAAAAGTTATATCAAAGATATAATTATGATTTTCACCGATGCAAAATTATGAGTATGCTCATAGATCTAAATTGATTCTGACATTATTCGTTATAAATGACAGAAATATATAGAGGTAAAAAGGTAAATATTACATTTTATGTATATATTACATTTTATGTATATATTACATTTTATGTATATTTACAATACATTTATGTATATATTTACATTTTAAACTTGGAATCATTAAAAATCATAGCCGTGGGTCTTTTGTAGAAGATACCCTTTGTTTTCAATTTATATAAGCTTAGAAACATTGCTGTGTATTTATTGGGTTTTACCGAAAGTGGCACGGTAAGACCTAGACACGGGACCGAATTACTTTTTCATTTTGATTTCCCCAGAGTGAAAAACTCTATAACAGAACCTGATCTGTTTGGTACTTACGTATTATACGGAGGCCACTTATTTTACAGCGCGCTGCGGCGGTTGGGTTAAGTTGGGTTATCATAAATATGTTTGTAGAACTTTCCTAGTTTCGTTATGAATCGAACTATACGAGATGAGTCTTAAAAACTTATGATAACCCAACCTAACCTAACCGCCGCAGCGCGCTGTAAAATAAGTGGCCTCCGTATAATACGTAAGTACCTAGAGGTTTTATCAGGTTTTTTAACTTTATAAAATAAAAAAAGCACCCCTTAACATCCATATGCAGGTTTTTATTCATTCATTTACTTATATAGATATTTTATTCTTCTGTGGGCAAGACAAATAACTTTCGCGATAAAATCTTGAAAAGTTTTAATTTAAAATTTTGACAGATAAAAATAAAACTCTTGTAGTTTGCTTGTTAATGGTTACATGTTGATCAGATTTGGCAAATATATTTTTTCACCCAATATACTATTAACGTTTGTCAAAAACACGTTCATGTACCTTATTCTTGGCAGCAGACCTGGATACTCGTTAAATCTTATTTTATTTAAGTGGGAAATAAATAGTACTTTTTATGAAAATATTTTAGTACAAAATCCAATCAGACTAATTGAAATTCACTGAAATACAGGCAAGATCAAAATTATACCTCTAACCTGATATTTTTTTAGTTTACCAATAATATTTTCGTTAATTATTAGCATTCTTATATTTAAACATCGGTGACTATAGCTGTATTCAAAATTTCATCCATCCACAATATGTACCATCTTACAAAGATATAATAGAAATCACATGCAATTGCGAAAGTACCCAAGTCGCAGTAAACCTACAAACTAAGCGAATTAACCAAATGCCTGGTTGGGGTTTTTACATAAATGTTTCCTTAAATATGTCAAATGCATTCCGTATTTAAATATAACATTAGGCTAAACGAGTACTTAAAATAGGTTTGCTGCCACAGGGAAGGTGGATTCTGATGAAATAAGTAAATTTGTCAAATTTTATTAGATATATATTTGATTAGAACATCCATAAACAAGCAAACCAGGGTACTTTTTCTCTATGAGAATAACATAGAAATAGTAAATTCACAGTTTTATGGATTTTTTCCGTAACCAACAGGCTTACAACCACGCTTCAAATCACTAAATTATTTGTTTTTTAACCTCTTAAAACTGGTTTTTGCAAGAAGTTTTATTTTTTTTCTTTTGAGGTTAAAATGGAAAAGCTCATATTTTCTACCCCACAAAAGCCTGTTCTGATTCGCGAACCCGTTTAATTGTATGTTTACACGTTAACCAAATTTTATCAAAATCTGTTGTTATCTTGTGTGATAAAATGTGTCGGATGACGTTTGGGACATCAAAACTAAAAAGTAAATCGGTCCCGGGTCCATGTCTTACGAGACCTATGGTAATAGCTGATTCCCTATATGGAAAATCCGCTAAAAACACATAGGCTCGAAGATATCACTGATTAGCAGTAGAAATAATCGCTCATATATATTTCCAACCTTCTCTTAACTTCCCTTTACAACCCTATGCTATTTAATCCACCTTTCACTCAACTGCTGTCCACAGAGCACAGAGCACAGAGCAAGCAGGTTGTCCCACATAATTCTATACTCTACTGTGAGACACAAACAGTGTCCTGGGCTCACACGGTCTATGTTTATGTTGTGTCGAGTGGTGTAGTGTTGGGTATATTGTTGCCAGCCTGTACAGCTTCTACTCTGTAGTCTTTGCCTACCGAGATGTCGAAGAAAAGGGGATTTAACATGTTTCTCAACAGTTTTAGGTATTCTCGAGTTTCGATAGTTTTACTATACTTCTGATACCATTGAGAAAATGGTCGATCTGATTCTCTTCCTTGGACTGAGCTGCCTAAAAGACCGAAATCGATATCTGAAAAAATCAAAGAGATCAAACCCGTATACCCAACCGCTACCAATTAAGGATAGAAAGTTTAGAGATCTCCAAGAACTGAAGGCCTGCTTAGAAGAATATTACCACCCATTTTATGAAAATTTACGCCACACTTAAAAATTACCAATTTACTGGAAAGTTAACAATGGCATTGAAAGACAATATAATGTATTTTTTTATAATGTAAAAGTTGTTTTGTCCATTAAATATGTCTCACTAATAGGCGTTAGTTGTTTCCTTCAAATTAAAAAGTTAATATCTTATGTCGAAACTAAAAATGTCGTATGTAAAAGTGTCTTAAGATTTAGTGGCAAAATATCTTATGTATTTGAAAACTACTCAATTATTAAGTCATTGCTTATATCTTCTACAAATTATTTATATATTTAAAAAGGAATAAAAAAATAATATTGTACATTTGTGGTATAATTTTTGAGGAAAATAATAAGTTTTTTGCTCTCCTGTAAAGTACACCATTTGGACATACAACCTATTGCACTTACAGTGACGATATGAATTTGAACGGAGTTTGTTTTTGGCCTCTGGGGACCTCAAAACGAAAAAATAAATCGGTCCCGGGTCTAGGTCTTACTATGAGACCTATGGTAATAGCTTATTCCCTATAAGGGAAATTCGCTAAAAGGAATAAAAAAGCTACACATTTACATCTTTGGAAAATAACTTTGGTTTTATCTGACTCAATACAAATCATTTTAAAGTTAAACCCCCAAAAAGAAAGTAAAATCTGGCCCGACACTCCTATTTGAAAACCCCCATAACAGCAAAAACACTTTACATTTCATAGTTAGTAAATTAAAACTGAAATCCCAAGCCTTTAAAAGACAATAACCATAAATAAGGAAAACCAGATATAACCACATACATTTTCAAGTGTTAAAACTGTAAATTGTACAACAGACGAACCTATTGTCCAGACGAAATTAACTCCATTAGGATAATGCGCCATAAGAATGTAAACAGATGTGGTTTTGGAACC